TTTGGGTGTTCCCTGATGGATGGGTGGAATTCTCCTGAAGCAAGGATCCGAAGAATCAGCTGGGTTTGACCTCTATTCGGCTGAAAGCGTTAAAATACCGGCACGAGATCGCAAGATTGTCGGCACCGGCATAGCAATGCGCGCCCCTCACGGAACATATGCACGAATTGCGCCGCGAAGTGGGTTAGCAGTCAAAGGGATAGATGTCGGCGCTGGAGTCATGGACCGAGATTACATCGGAGAAGTACGCGTGGTGATGATCAACTCCACCAATCAACCCTTTCAGGTACGCGCCGGCGACCGAATTGCACAAGTCATTTTGGAACGCATTGCGTCATGCGATATCGAGGAGGTGTCGAGTTTAACAGAGACTCAACGAGGATCAGGAGGTTTTGGATAGACGGGTAAATAATCGTGAGGACACGATTCTAGACGGGGGGGTAATGTCATGAATATTACATATCCTGGATGGTTCTCCCGGGTTCCATAGTATTCTTTTACTTTCTATACACCTCTGTATATTCGTAGGATATTCTAGGTATTCAGTCTGACATGTATAAAAGGAGCTTGTACTGCTCAATAACAAGCCAGACTCGAGCTGGTCTTTCCTCACTCACATTCCTCTCGTCTGTCTCCTCAGCACTGTCGTAGCTCAGTCCAGTTGGATTGTTAGTTGCTGACACACTCCGTGACTCAGGTCAAGTTTGTTCAAGGCCAACTCCTCGTTTTTGCCTCATCGGATGCTCACAAGAGCTCTCTCGCTCTTTGGTCCGTCCCGGAGCTACTTCAAGACGAGAGAACCGCGGCGCCGCTGACAGAGTGTTACCTTTCGGGGCCTGTGTACCGCGGTGCGTTGGATCTGCAAGGCAACAGCGCAATGTTTGCACTCGAGCTTCGGTGCAGGTGAGACGCTATTGTGTGGACCGTTATGGTGTATGAATAGCTGACGTATCATAGCGCACCCCCCATCCCAGTAGCGCGGCCCCGCTACAAAAGCCAGCCGGCCCCGACATTTTGCCTGAAAGCGAGCTTAGAAGGCGTGGCCATCCTTCGAAGCCTTCGTGGGGACTTGGTCGGATTTGGGCTGTACAACGAGCCGAGCGTACCGTGCGTCTGGGACTGGCGACAGGACCATGTGAGTCAGTTTTATCGAGAGCCAGTATAAAAGTGAGTAGCTTTCTTGTATGTTTGACCGTGCCTCATGGTTTTGAAAGGGTGGCTGTGTCGCAATGGCTTTCGGTGACAACCTGGCCGCCGTGGTCGAACCTTACTGGCTTTCTCTATATGCACTCCCGTCGGATGGCTCTCCACCGTTGGCTGTTGGCACAGAGGTCATATGTTTTGACGACCGAGTCGCCTCCGCCACCATCGAATTTTCGAGCGGATGCTCGCCGCACACAGAATGTTCTCTTCCGGGTCCGTGCCCTCCTATCGCCCTCCATGCGGTCGCTTCGGGCTGCACGTCTATGCTGTCCCTCTGGAGACTGTGAATGGTCAGTGTCGTCCTGTACACCGCTGGTCCTCGCCGACTGTATCAACGGACCGCCACGAGTACGTGACGTTCACCCTCTCTCCGTCTTTTGGATATGGGTGTTATACTGTGTTGTATATTGCGGAAGATGGGGGGATGAAAGACGACTTCAGCCTCGTTACCGCGCTGCTTCCGACCGGCGGCGGCCACAGTGATAGTAGCGGGGCTACGTTTGCCAAGTTGACTGGTGCGGGCATGCCAGCGCTGTATCTGGCATCGACGCGCGACTTTGACGACACACTTGGCCTGCTCGTCATTGGGAACGCGTTCGGCGAGCTCGCGTTGCACAGTTACGGTGCCGTTCCTCCACAGACGCTAGCCGGTTACTTTCGATGGATCGAGTTTATTTCCGAAAAGGAAGACACGGAGCTTTCTAAGGTACGCTGCGGTATACTTCGGAGTGTAAACTATTCCATGTGCGCTGACTGTGGTGCGTTATAGGACCCCAACTCCGTGTTTGAAAGATGGCGTCGCCGTTCCCATACAGCGGTCCGTGGTACCCGCCGGTGGATACGCTCAAGGAGCTCTGCCAAGCCTGGCGTGCGGGCTGTCCCCGAGTTTCTCCAGGATGGAACCTCGACTGGCCAGCGGACTCCGCTCCCAATCCCGATGATGAGTTTCACGGTCTCTCGGTGTTTCATCCGCTCAACTTCATCCTTACCTTCTCATACGAGATTGAGCACACTCTCAACTGCATCGGCACGCCGATCCCCATAATTTATCAAGACGAAGGCATCGATGTCCGCACATTTTCAACGCGGGGGGCCTGATACTTTCGCTGGTGGAGGAGCCATTGGAGTTCATGGTTGTACCACCGGGGTGGACTGCTGATGACGCCGCTACACTGTTGGAAGACAATTGGGAAGAGTCGCCATTTCCAAGCATCACGAAGTACCGGAGAGCATACCTCATGCAACAGAGTGCCCTCCTGAAGTGAGAATTCGAGCTGGAGGCATCTGGGAGGGATCGGTGGAGGCCAGGGGGAGAGGTGCATCGGCTAGTGACGGCGCTCGATGACCGCGCCGCGTTCCCGGGAAGTTGGAGATGAGGCATGCCCCGGGCATTCTCTGTTGTTGAATTCGTCAACTTTATTTTGTATATATGTGCGTGCCTGGTACTTAGACGATATGGCCTCGGGCCTCAGATACGCGGGCGGTCATTAACAAGCGCTTCCCACGCTCGTTGCTCGGGCTACGGGACGACTCGTCCGAGCCCTGCTCGCAGCTCTTGACTACATCCACCGTGTCCATCTTCCTTCGGAACATCCCCAGCCTAGCACAATCCTGAGCGATACTCGAAGCTATCATGTCTGAAGAAGTGAAGGGCGCCAGCAACAGTGAGCCAGCACATAGTTGCAACAGCGCACTTGGCATCTCAAACCGCTCTGATAATGTGTAGACGAACTCCTTCTCGCCGCTGCGCGCGATGACAACGAGGACATGCTGCTCGAGCTCTTCGATGAAGGCGATCTTGACGTCAACTTCCAGGACGGGTACGTCTCTGCCCGCACTTGAAGAGAGCACGCGGTTGACCTTGTGAGAGCAGTCTAGGAAACACTGGTGCGTCCGGCCTGCAATATTGACACGACGCGCACAGCCTCATCCGCAATCAAACGGAATAGCTCTGCACTACGCGTACGTATGTGTTAGCACTGGGGCTGTGGCGAGCAGGTCGGACTGAACGCGCCGATAGCGCCTCGCTGGGCAATATTGACGTGCTCGAACACATCCTCTCACACGATGAATGCGACGTGGACCCGATCAACCGCATAGAGCGTGCAACGCCGTTGCATCTTGCCATGAAGATCCAGGACCCAGAGCTGCGGAGGTCGGTCGTGGAGAGCCTGCTCGACGCTGGTGCAGACACCTTGTGAGTAGTACCCCTTTGCGACTTGTGACAGCGAACGTGTCATCTGATGTGGATGGGTCAGTATCAAAGACAAGAATGGCGAAACGGCTGTGGACCTGATCCCCTCGGACGACAAGGAGACGCCCGCGCTCATCCGGAAGGCTCGTGCGCAGGCTACTCGGGCTCAGGAGGATGTAGTCGATGGTGCGTTGAATCCGCTTTGTAGACTTCATAACCCTTCACAACCGTCTTAAATGCGCAGACGATGACGATGACGAGCCTGGATCAGGATCCGGCTCTGAAGAGGAAGAATAGACGGAAAACAAGATAACGGACGGAAAGTAATATAATATCTGTAGATTGTTCGCGAATCCAGGCGGTCATCATCATCAACACTTGACAACGAAATGACAATGTAACACACTATCCCGCACATACATTGCTCTCCATGATTGTCTTCGCCGAGCTGTCGCTATGCCTTGCGTCTCAGACATCGCGAGTAATGCAACGTAGCCGCGACTTGCGGCCCAGCTGTCGCTGGATGGTGTCTTCCTGGACCAGACCGCGACGCGGGGGTACTCCAGTGTCTGTAATACTCATAAGAGCCGTACATGTGGACGTCACCTGCAGCGGTATCCGCGCGAGTGCCGCTGGCTCGTTGCTCGTAGCCGTGCCACGTAAGGGATGAGGATGTCTTCAAACTCCTCTGTGAAAAGCTATCGATAGCATACATGTTCTCTTATTGAGTTATGAATGTCCGTGAAATTTATAGAGATGCTTTGTGAGTGAAAGCGAGACTAAGCGAGGTGCAAATGCAAACTCGGGTAAAAGGGCAGCGCATCAGTGGCCTCCACGGTCAATCTAAGCGCTTTCAAGATAAGATAAAGTATTTGATCTCCCAGAGTCACTCGCGCTGGAGGAGCGAATTTCTTGCATGTTTGCATCTCGCTCACCGCCTCATCGATTCCTTAACTACCGCCTCCTCAATCCCTGGCGCGTGCAGCAAATACGAATTACACGGAAAATGGCGACAGTCGAGTCCCTCACTGCGCAGATCGCGGAGCAGAGTGCGCTGTTGAACGACCTGCGGAAGCAGCAGGCGGAGGCGGCCACTGTCGAGGAGGTCAAGAAGAAGCTCGGCGAGCTCAAGAGGAAGCTCGGACAGATGGCTGGAGGCTCTTCGAAGGATGGCGGGAAGAAGAAGGAGCGGATTCTATTGAAGACACCAAAGGTGCGCCGCAGAGGCTCGCAGGTTGTTCGTGGTCAGGCTCACTGGGACTTTCTGCGCTCTAGGGCACCCGTGACTATGGCTCGGGCGAGATGCACTGCCGCGAGCACATTGAACGGATTGTCAAGGACTGCTTCACGACCTATGGTGGCTCGTGTCTCGACACACCGGTCTTCGAGCGAAAAGAGATCCTCGCCGGCAAGTACGGCGAAGACGCGAAGCTCATCTTCGACTTGAAGGACCAAGGGGGCGAAGAACTCGCACTTAGATACGATCACACTGTTCCTCTTGCACGATACCTCGCCATGAACGGCGCTATCATCCAGGCGAAGCTTTGGCAGGTCGGCAAGGTCTACCGAAGAGACAACCCAGTCATGTCGAAGGGTCGCATGCGTGAATTCTCGCAAGCAGTGCGTATGCCAATCTACATCTCTGTTTCTGTCTCTCATGTTATCGACAGGACTTCGATATTGCTGGCGTATACGATACGATGATCCCAGATGCCGAGATCATTAGCCTGGTTTGCACCATCTTGACGCGGTTAGAGGTTGGAGACTTCACTATCAAGGTACGTGGCATGTCTTATCCCGCTATGACCTTACTGGACATCTTTTAGATCAACCACAGAAAAATCCTCGATGGTATCTTCGAAGTGTGCGGAGTCCCTCCAGAAAAAATTCGTCCTATTTCGTCTGCTGTCGACAAGCTCGACAAGGTACGTGCATACCGCCGACGCTTGGTATACGCGTGCTTATTCCATTTAGATGGCGTGGGCAGACGTCAAGAAGGAAATGACAGAAGAGAAGGGCCTCGACCCCGCCGTCGCGGACAAGATTGGCGAGTACGTGAAGCACAAAGGCGGCCCGCCGCTGCTAAACCAGCTCCGTGCGGACCAGGCGCTGATGGCCAACGCGAGCGCAAAGCTCGGCGTCGAAGAGATGGACGTCTTGTTCCAATATCTCGAGGCGTACCAGGTCGTCGACAAGGCCAGTGATCTCCGTGGCGCCACTTTGTTGCCCCATCAACTAAAACGCGTAGCAGATCTCCTTTGATATGTCCCTCGCGCGCGGCCTCGACTACTACACTGGCATCATCTATGAAGCCATCACTGAGGCGTCTGCGCCGCCGGGCTTCAAGGACGCCAACGCCAACGCCGCGCCATCCGAGACGGCGCCCGCGGCCGCGTCCGCGCCGGAGCCGAAGAAGGAGAAGAAGAAGAAGCCCGCGGCCGGCGAGGAGGAGGAGGAGGAGGTCGACGAGAGCAAGGTCGGCGTCGGCTCGATCGCGGCGGGCGGGCGGTACGACAGCCTCGTCGGCCTGTTCACGGCCGCCGCGGCGGGCGAGGGCAAGAAGGCGGCGCAGCTGCCGTGCGTGGGCGTGTCGATCGGCATGGACCGCATCTTCGCGCTCCTGTGGCCCCGGTGGGTCGAGCGCGGGATGCGCAGCAAGGACACGATGGCTTACGTCATGGCCGCCGGCGACGGCCTGCTCACGGAGCGCGTCCGGCTCGTGCAGGAGCTCCGCGAGGCGGGGATCAAGGTGCGTCGTGCTTCGGGCCCTCTGGAGGAGTCTGTGCTGACCGGGTGCTAAGGCGGACTTCATGCTCAAGAGGAAGCCGAAACTGCCTGCGCAGTTCGACGCGGGCGAGAAAGACGAGGTGCCGTTCGCGATCATCTTCGGCGGCGATGAGATTAAGGATGGGCTCGTCACAGTCAAAGAGCAACGCTGGGAGATCGGCGACGGGGAGAGACGCAAAGTGCGGAGCGACGACAAGGGCACCAAGGTCAAGCGCATAGAGCTTATTGGCTGGATCAAGAGCACATCGACGTATCAGGGATGGTCGAGTGGCAAGCTGGCGTAGACGATTTAACGATACATTCCATGACGACCGCATGGGACTCCGAGTCTAGCTGACGCTAGTTTATCACTCCGCATTATGCCTAGAAAGACATGCCAGTCAACGTAATCCTCAATCGGTATCTGCTTGCCGCAAATCTTCTTTTGAGGGCAGGGCTTTTCCTGTTTCCAATCACACTGCTGGCATTCGCTATAGAAAGTGCGAGTCAGTTCTTGAGTTAAGCATATCCTGTAAGAGCTCACGCTGAACAGTACTACTGTACACGATTCGGTCGACCTTTCGGCACGCGCTGCATGCCTGCAGCTTCTTCCCCGGATCGGGCTTTCCGTAACAAACATTACACTCAACAACTCGCGAAGTCCCACCGAACTCTTTCATGTCTTCACGTGTCTGCTTCGCGACGTCTCGCGGAAGACTCGCTGCAAAGTGCTGTGATGCAATACCACACAAGCCCTAAATTAGGTTCAACTTGGCGCAAAGCGCTTGGCCGCGTCTGCAGACGCCGAGCCTAAGGCCGTGATTTCCTTATCGAAATATTACACAAATACAATGCTTCCGTTTTCCGACAAGAAAAATCACGAGCTCACATAGACAGCACCCGAAGTAGCCTCAGTTGGTCGTCGCATCGGTGAACTGCGTCGTCGCAAATCCTGCCTGGTTGTTACCAGCGTCCCAGAGAAAGTAGAACCTCTCCAGCCATACGACGCCGTTAACGAAGTCCAGACCCTCACCCGAGGGCGAGCCAATATTCCCGATAATGAGATAGATGCCGTCCGCAGCACCGCCGATTTCGGCGTTCAGCTTTGAAGACGCAGATTAGCGAGTCGCACGGGAGATAAGAAAAGAGCAACGTACGAAACGAGGCCAAATTTGCGCGTTCGGGATGAACTCATATGTAGTCTGATACGACAGTGAGTCCAACATGTGGGTTGATACCAGAGAACAGGAACGTACACCACCGATATTGAAGAACAGGCTCTGCAAATTGGCGAACTGCGCAGGAGTGAGGCTTAGCAGACCCGTGGTCGGATCGAGCACCGCGCCCGTGAGCTGTTGATAGGCAGCGAAGGCATCTGTAGATAGCATTCATCACCCGACTGGGCCTTGCCAAGACGAAATGGCTCACCGGAGGCCAGAAGGAGGAGGGTGGTACCAGTGTCGACAATGCCGGCGGTCTCACTGAGGATGGTGGTGGATCCGTAGGCCACGGATTGGTCGATCCCCACAAATTGATTAGCAGGAGAAGTAGTGGTAATTGGCCTGAAGACGGAATATTTGAGTGGTTCACGAACGCATAGGGGGCGGGATGGAACCTGCTTACACGAAGAGAATGTCACCATTGAAAAGAGTCGCACTTGGATCGACGCCACCGCAGGAGAGCACCCCAATCGCAGGCAAGACGCTAGTCACCGGCTCTAAGAAAATACCAAGTTCTTTTGATTCGATGAGACCCAGAGAAAACGCATTGTCCAGGACCGTAGGCACCAACGCGCCGTTAGAGGTGGTACCTGGGCTCAATGAGCATATAGTCGAAAGGGACCGACGCGAAACCAACCTGCGGTAAGACCGGCTGGTCCGAGACTGTCCACGAGATAAGTTAGTATTCTTTGGCATGCAATGAGGGATCAGGCTGACCCCAAGACGCCGTCCACTCCTTCGAAGCCTTCAGAAGACGAGGCAACACCGATAGCTTGCTGTGGAATCGTCATGAATGATGCGAAGAACAGCTGATCGAGGAATTCTTCGCCTAAGACATCTAATCAACAACCTCCATCGTCTCTCAAAAACTGGCAAAATTTACCGAAGAAGGATCCAGTGGCGTACTGGACAAACTGAACCACGGGATCAGCCCGGTAACAAATCGCTCAATTTCCCGCTCACCATCTCCACACCAGTATCGTGGGAGGAAGACGTTACTGCGTAAGGGAAATCCGCGCCGAGCCAAGTGTTGGCACTGCCAATGTCCAAAATAAGAGCGTCTACACAGCCAAAAAAAAGGGCTTAAGCCTAGTATAATATCGCACGACTGCAATATTACTTACAAGTGGTCGGATCGCTGCCGACCTGAGTCTGACATCAGCAAAATAATCGGTCGCAGGTCAGAGATGGGTTACCAGGCAAGCGCCTAACAGCCTGGTGGGCGCTGGCAATCCAAGAACAGGGGATACCAGGCTGATATCACACTGCAGTCTCAACACGGACCGATATGTCATTGTAAGTCATCTCCCATCCTGTTTTAACTAGACATGACGCGGCCAGCACACCCAGATCTCCACTGTGACGTGACGTCATGCGTGCCGCCTTCCGAGAGGTGTTGCTGACTGTCACATATATGTTGACTGGCCAAACGAACAACAAAGTCTCCTTCGACCTCCCCTAAAGTTGCTCTGGTGAGTTTCCTTTTATGTATTCATCCATATAAGGCCGTCGAAGGCCATCCGCTTTCCATGCTCCTTCCTTCTGCCCACCACCATGCCCCCGCCCAATAGACAGCCACCCCCAGACGCCATTGTCCTCTGAGATTCTTATCCCCACTTCTACTTTCCCCTCGCTTAATAGTGACTCCACTGCGTGCTCACTTAGCGCAGTACGTCGCAAGGTGCGTGAGTAGTAATTTCTCTCGCATTAGCACTGTAGTTGACTACTCATATGCACGGCAGCCGCAGCACCGACTTCCACCTGCCTGCACGGCTATGCGAGGGTCCTGTAATGC